CTTCTGCTGTTTATTATTATTATTATTATTATTATTATTGTTGTTGTTGTTGTTTCTGTTATTGTTATTATTATTATTATTATTATTGTTGTTGTTGTTGTTTCTGTTATTGTTATTATTATTATTATTATTATTGTTGTTGTTGTTGTTTCTGTTGTTTATTATTTTATTATTATTATTATTGTTGTTGTTGTTGTTTCTGTTATTGTTATTATTATTATTATTATTATTGTTGTTGTTGTTGTTGTTGTATTGATAGATTAAAAGTAGCTCACTCTGTTGTCCTCCTGTACCTCCCAGTCTGGGGTGTACATGTGAACCTGTGTGCCAACTGTGCAGTTGGAAAACTGGAACAAGCTGGCAAACATGCGATGGTTCTCCGGCGTGTCAGAGAAGATGGGGTCCTGGAAGTTTACTCCGTGGGGAATGATGCTGTAGTTTTCATCCATCCTTAGAAGAAATGCAACAAAAACTACATTACTATGATAAATAATTGTTATGCCTGGATTAATATATGATTTGAACACACTCCAATAACTTTCCACATGGTCTGTACTATGCACATCAATGATAAATGATCAGACTTATTAAAAGGTGTGGCTTACAATTGTATGAAGTGGATGATACATTGTCCTACAATTGTATGAAGTGCATGATAAATTAGCAAAAAAAAAAAATCTAATAAAAAATACAATAAAGGCCACATTCAAACCCAGGAATATCACAGAGCTTTGGGTGGTCTTTTGATTAATTTAAGCCAGCAACCAACCAACTAGTAGAAACTACTTTAGCAACCTTAGTGTAACCCCTCCGTTTCTACTCCCCTCACTCACTCTGAGTGGCATTCGAACTGGCATTTCCAGCATGGGAAGCAGGCACACTAACAAGGACGCTAAAGACCACAGCCTCTAACATCATAGTGCACCTCTTAAGATGAGGGGAGTGAGGTTTAACTTTGCAGCTCTTACCAGCTGGCCGTTACATTAGCATGCTCAAAACGATTCTGAACACCTTAGCAACCTCATAGCAACATCTTAGCAGAAAAATGTAAAATCCTGCTTTATAATGTATAATTTCAGCCTGTTGTAATATTCATGCATGTCAGAGGGTGTGTATCAAACATGAGAGGGAATATTACCACTACAAAATAATGCTATACCATGAAGGTTGCGCACTCGTTATGTATTTTTGTTTCTCCTGTGTGGGCCTCAGCGATGTAATAGTTTATGACCACTTGGGACACTTAATGTCAATGACCCATATATTTTTAGGCAGGCAAGCGGCCAAGGAGAGGGGAGGTACCAATAAAGGGTATGCTGGGACAGCTATTTGTGTTTTTCACATGTGTGTGTTTGCATTTGGGATGTCTTTATATGTTTAATGTTGCTAAAGCATTAGCTAACATATTACGTTTAAAGAAAAATATTGAGGAGTAAAAATATATGTAATCAACATAAGAGGTTAATTACACAGTGTGTGGTGTCCCAGGAATTATACGCATAGCTTAGGGAGGTCTATTCTTTTCTCTTTGTTCTTTCTCTTGTCTCTGTAGCTGTGTGTGAGCAAATAATTCATTACTTGTGATTGGCGTACAAAGCTGTTCTCTGGCTGGTCTCTTGCTGTTTCAGCCTGCAGTCTTGCAAACTTTCACACATCAGCACACATATACACACACACCTCCCAGCAGAGAGGAAATGAGGAAAGTCTGTTATCAAAGTTTCAAGGGTGGTTTTAAAAATATTAATACAAAAACCATGGTTACATTGGCACAATGTGAGGAAATGAGACACTATCTTCATACGGACTCTCCACTACGCTTGTCCTCCTATATATGATGTCTGATTCAGCCGCCATCAGCCTGCAGGAACATCAATTGTTTGCAAGTTGAATGGTTTGCAGCACTCACTTGTAATCATCAACAATGTATATTTTTTTCAATTCTAGTTTGGGAAAAGAAAAACACAGTTACTCCAAACAAATGACAAGTTAATGCATGTGTGTATGTTAGAGAGCCAGAATTCCCAAGAGGCATTTGTTGCATTTTTTTTTAACAGTTTAATGAACAGTCTGGCAAATTACTACTTGTTTGAGACTACACACACACACACATATATATATATATATATATATATATATATATATATATGATGAGGGGAAACATATGTAAGCTTTGTTCATAAGTTTGTTGGCTGCAAAACACTCTTGCTCACAGTAAGGGAGACGGTTTTGAGGTGAATAGTTTTCCACCTGGCTTCCATATCCCCTTTTCCCTGACGGAAACATTGGCTTTGGACCTTGACAGCAGAGAGTCCCTTCATCTGGATCTAATTCAGCCTCTTTAGAGGGGCATCTGAAGCTCAGGGGCTTTTACCGAACCTGTGCTCAATGCCAAACTTGGAATATCTAGTTCCAAAATGAGTTCCAGAATTCTCTGATGGATGTCAGCTGAGCTCCAGAATATTTTGGACTCAAGTGTCTAGGTCTGGAAGGCCATTTCAACTTGAGTTTCAGCTTCAGAACTGTAATGCATTAGAAAGGCTATTATTTTGAAGCTTGACATAATTGTGAACCATTGTTTCAAGAGTGTTTAGATCCTACACATTTTCTTCTTTTATATTCTTTGGTGTTTTTAGAAAGACGTGACGGTGAGAAAATGAATACAGAATTTTCAATTCTAGCAGAACTATTCCTTAAAGGGAAATGAAGGCAAGAAAAGGAGAGATTTAATTTTCTAAATACATTCCAAAAGACAGTGTTACACGTTTCTGAGCATCTAAAAAGAGGATCTATGAGTAAGAGATAAATATTTAGTAAACACATTCTTACTGGCAAGGTTTTGAATATTTGCTAAATGAAAGTGCCTGTTTTTATTATAACATTCTGGTGTACTTTGGGATGTGAGGCGGTATGAAGTTTGTATAGTTTATGAAATATAATACATTTCTCAAAATATGTGGTAAATGTGATAAAAATGCACAAACATCTCCCTACATTTTTTTATTTTTTTTCTGAAAGCAGTGTATACCAACCCTGCTGAAAATACCATAATGTTAACTAATAACCAATAAATTCCAGATGGGTTCCTCATGTTATCCTACAGTACACATTTTCATGCGTATTCAGGATATGACCTTTTTAATTCACTGACCACCCTAAAATAGAGAGCCTCTCAAGGGAACCTTAATGTAGTTGTTCTGTGCACCACATTGCATTAATTATTGTTTCCATGCAGTGTCTCCAGTTTCTCAGGCTTTTGATGGTTTGATTGGTGAGAATTTTCTTGCCAAACTGGAACCAGCTGTCTGATTGGTTCATGGCTTAGACTCATGACATATGGGACATTAAACGGCAGAGAAGAAAAGTTGTGTACTAAGGCAAAGTTTTCTGTCGAACACCAAAAAAAAAAAAAAAGCACTGAATGTCTTAAATGCTCATTTTAATACAATGAAAGTGAAATGAGTCGTTTTTGAGCTTCAAAAATGCAAAAAAAAAGCATAATAAAAGTACCATAAACATGGTCCATACGACTCATTCATTTAGGACTCATGGATTATAGCTTAATTAAAGTCAATAGTTGAAATGCAAGCATTAATTTTCATACCCTGACACCTCGGTTTGACATTATTGACAGTGATATTTGTTCATATGTAAGAAAAAAAAACATGATGTGCCAGTTTAAAAATGTAGAACATAACAAGATTTGCATGTAAGTTCATCACATGAATGATTTCTTAAATATTAGCCTGTTCCTTAAACAAAGCTATCGTATTACAATGTCAGTGTTCTCTTGCAGCACTCTGAGTGAAACATGCTGGAGAATAACAGGAACAGTAACTCATGAACCTTATATGAATATGTCCACGGAATGACATCATGACATGTTTCAAAGTTTTTACTGTAAATGTAAGAGACCAAAAAATGAGAGTTTAAACAGTGTTTCTAATCCAGATTAGTAAGAATTTAGCATCAAATTCACAAAAGCATTGGTCATCCAAGCATGGGCTCGCCACTGATAGTAATTTTAAAAACAATGCCCTGAAATGAGTGTACAATTCAATATCAGTGATGAGATTAAACAAAGGAAAAGTGGTGTAATGGAAACTGGACTAAACCTGTATCTACAAGCTTAACATCCAACAAGCTCAACACCTCAAGCACTTTAAGAGATCATGGCTAATGTAGAAACTGTTGGGGTTAGGTCAGAGCCTACCTGCTATAAAGAAAAAAATACTTTTCTGATGAATATTATTTTAGATAATAAGTGACAAAAACTGTAAGCATGTAAGAGTAAGCAACTCCCAAACACTTGATACAATGGCAAAACAGCCTGTTAGCACTTGATTGGACCTATAACCTGCTGCCCTCAGGTCACTCGAGCACTTGTTGAGCAGTCGAGTTGTTTTAACTGCTCTGTCTCTAAGACTGGGATCATTATTAGTAACCGATCTATTTGTGTCACGCCCCTGGACTTTCTGTGTGTGTTTTTGCTCCCCATGTGCTCCGTGACCTAGTTTTCCCTTGTGTTTGATTGTGTTCATTGCTCCCAGGTGTGTCTAATTTATTCCCTCATTTGTGTTGTGTATTTAATGTGTTCTGCCCTATGTTTCCTTGTCGGGTCTTAAACGTCTATCCCCGTTGTGCTACCTGTGTGTTCCTGCCCTGTATTCCTGGCTCCTGTGGATTATTAAAGACTGTGTTTGTGTTCATCCCACGACTCCTCGCTCCTCGCTGTTATCCCGTCCTGAATACCTCCTCCTCCTGCTGAAGCAGGGGGAGAGATCGCTCGAGGGCCATACCGGACTGTTTCTGGCCATCGCCCATCTCACCAGCTACCCGGACAACGCACTCTGCGCGTTCTATGATGCCAGCTTGAACCCCGCGTGCAGAGCGCCGTCGTCCGAACATGGTCCTCGAGCGGATTTCGCCGCTTTTGTGGAGTGGATACTGGCGAGAAACGGATCCCCGTTCACCGTCCGTTCTGAGGAGGATCTCACCAGTTCCACTCCGGACCCAGAGCCTAGCACACCTTCACCTCATGTGCGGAGCTCAAGCCCGAGCCCACCGCTGACAGAGAGCCCGAGATCACCGCGACCGACGAGCCATCGCCACAAGGGGCGACAGAGCTGAGGATCACGGAGCCGGAGCTGTTTGTAACGTCAGACCAGGTGCGAGAGCCGGCTACCATGCCCGCCACGAGGGAGAAAGCCGTGGCCAGTGAGACCGCGGAGAGGAGCTCCACCCACTGCACCATGGCTGACCATGGGGTGGGGGGGACTGTCACGCCCCTGGACTGTCTGTGTGTGTTTTTGCTCACCATGTGCTCCGTGACCTAGTTTTACCTTGTGTTTGATTGTGTCTCATTTATTCCCTCATTTGTGTTGTGTATTTAAAGTGTTCTGCCCTATGTTTCCTTGTCGGGTCTTAAACATCTATCCCTGTTGTGCTACCTG